GAGGTGTAAAACAACGTTGAGCTTCGAGCCCTCGGGCGAATCGTTAATCTATCAAAAAATCAGAAAATTGACACGTGTTTTTTACGTTAACCCATTCAAGTAGTGGAATTCGAAATCGATAACACGGTCTTTTCTTGTATGAGCTTGTCACATACGTAGCTATATGGTATCTTTTGTCGATACATCGATTCTATCTTCATTTTGTTGTAAAAATATTTTATTCCTGGATATTTTTTCCCTCGAGAATCGTAATATTCGAGGAAGATTAAAAATAGATTTCTGGAGAATAGAATGTTTTCCTCTTATCAAATATTTATATATTTGAGCAAGTGAAAGATATGATAATTAAATGGAAAGGGATGTGAAAAATGATTGAAAATATTCACAATTATTTTGTATTGATTTTTAATAATAAGATGCAAATTTTCTCTTTGAAAAAGTTTATTTTTTTCTTCTTTGAAAGACATATTCTTTTATTTATTTTTATTCTTTATAGAACTTCGAAGGAGTATATATTTCACATCGAAGGATATAAAATATAAAGGGAAAGGATAATAATCTGCATACTATCATAATTTCGGTATGATACTGATTCGTTCGAAGGTCCATTGATGACACGAAATTTTTGATATATGAGTAACCCTATCTATATATGGATTCGAGTTCCTTCAATTCTGAGATCAGAGAAAATTTTACAACGGTTATCAAGTTTAGAAAGTTTCGAACAGTACTCGAACAAGAGATATAAAAAGTTTGTATCTTCTTCTATTTTTCTTTCCCAATCTCATTCGATTTATTAATTAAAAATCAATTTGCAAAATTTATTCTCCAAGTCGATTTTTCGATTACTTTCGTTTCCATAGTTTTTCTTTATTCATAAAAAATTTCTGAAGAATTAGATTCTTTATTCTTAAATTCTTCATCCTAAAAATCAAGACCAATTGAAATTAAACTCCAATTTAAAAAAAAAATATTCCAAATTCATAGATCAACTTTTTTTCGTTACAGAAACAGTAGGCAAATATTCTCGAATGTTTCGAGCATATAGTTATGAGTAATTAAACTTCCCCTTCCCCGTTGGCAAAATTTAATCACTTTCGAAATTCGTATCATCCTCTGGATTAACGGTACACAAGGATACGGAAAACTATTAATTCGAATTTGTTGCGCAATCAAAAATCGTATATTCGTTTCGAAATGAAAATTTGGAAAAAAAGAAAAGAAAAAAAGAAGAAGAAGAAGAGAGAGAGAGAGACGATCCTCCACGCTCTGTTACTTTTCTGCGTTACATTATATATACTTGAGAAAGTTCACAGCGATATCAAAGGGAAAGTTTGAAGAAAAACTCGTGTTCATGGAGTCAGCATTTTATTGAATAAGTTACGTACAGTTTCTCCCTTCTTTCTCTCCGGTGCGAGTTTCACGATGTAGCAGCCATCTTTACGAACTCTCTTTCGAAATGCTTTTCGTGTTTTGCGACAAATCACGAATCATCATCTTTGATTTCTATTACGCGTGAAAATGTTTTCAATTTTTCCCGCAGAAACGCGTGAATTTTTTTTTTCAGTGTCGATAATTAATTCAGAAACAAATCTGAAACTTTCTCCCCAAGGAAATATCTAATTTGTTTGATTCATCGATCAACAGATCAAGACGAACATTCGATTTAAAGTAGAACATTCTTTTGTCTGGTTATTCGATATTTTTTTAATATTTCGTGAAGAATGATATTATTTACATTTCCAAATATTCCTTTTCGATTGATATATATATAGTACACGATTTACAGTCAGAAAAATATATAATCGTGTATTTTAATGCACTCTTTCTTTTTTTTTCGTGTACATTTTATTTGCAATACAATTAGAATCGTAATATAATTATTATAACACTTTCTAACGCGTATATTAAGTTTGGAACGATACGTTGATTAATATACCACTATAATTATCTAATTATGTGAATAAATTCTGTGTTACGTAATATATCAAGTTAATAATATCTGACTGTGTGCCGTATAATTTATTTATGCCAAGCTAATTATAATCAGGAAGCACCATTCGTAACAGCAAGACGAATATTAATGTATTCGATACATGGAAGCTTATTTCTACTATATAGTAATCGTTGACCTCAAATTCTCTAATTCACATTCGCGTTAAAGAATTTAAATTAGGTTAACGTTCGAGATTCCATGGTGAAAAATTAAATAAAAATCTTTCTTTTTCTTTTTCTTTCTCTTTCTTTTTATTTCATTTATATTCACATTTATCAGCTTCGTAATAATGAGATTGAATCGACGATAGAATATTCAATTAATAACGAGAAGTATAATAATACAAAATTTTTCAATTTTCGTAATTCGATCAATCTCTATCCATTTCTCTAATTGTCGAAAAAAAGACCGTCAATCCTGACTTTACAAATTCGCCAATTTGAAAAAGACGAGGGAAAAAAATCCTATCGTATCTTTCACCCGATGAAATCCCTTTTCGAACACATCCGAATCCCTCGAAACAAATCCCTCCGAATCGAATCTCCTTTCAAACATTAACCGTTCGATCTCGCGTTAAACCAATATAACCGTACATATATCTGTACAACGCGACACACTTAATCCCCAAGCTAATAGAATATTAAGGGATCGAATTGATTAATCGGTAATTGTAATTTTATCGTTGACCATTCTTCTCTTCTCCCTTCTTCTGTAAAGCATCAAAGTCACGAAATCACGATTCGTCGAGCAAAATAAAATATTCTTCGCTTCACATTTTTCACTCGAGCTTTTTCTCCCCTCTTTTCGTCGAAAGATTCCATAACGAAGGATTCTTCGATAGATTTTAATTTTAATTTTTTTTTCTTTTTTTTTTTTTGGAATGATTTTAATTTAAAATCGAAAATTAAAAAGACACGTACGCGTATCTCCGAAAAGGTTAATTTGATTAACCTTTTAGTTAGTTATCTAAAAGCGTTATCTGCGGAATGGCAGAAAGAGGGATAATTGACGGGCGACGAACGATCCGGTGGAAGGAAGGAAGGAAGAGTGGCGCGAGCTGGCGCGAGGAGAAGCGGTCCTGGATTCAGTCGGCGGCCAGGATTCGTGGCGCGCGCGTCGATGTACGTGGGGGCCGG